AAAAAAAAATAAAAAAAAAAAACTGTAGCACGTCCGTCGGATTCAAATTTAATGACAGATCAGCAGAAGAAACCAACCAGACTTGCCGGAAATAACGGTAATTCTATAATACTTCAAAAAGAATTACGACCGGTGTCCCGAGATTTGCTGCTAATTTAACGACGACGATGATAAAAGTCAACAAACACGTCAATACAGGTCTTGACGATCTCAAATTTATAGCCCAAACTGTTCGCACTTCGTGCATCATTTGCTTACCGAGTATTTGCAGAGAAGAGAAAAAAACTGTTGAGATTCGAACAAACTTTTCTCGAAGCTAATTACTGACGTAGTCTAATCGCCACAACAAAAGATGTTTTACTTCTTTTCAGTGTTCAGCAAAGAGGTGCAAGATCTATCGATCGCGCGCACGCGGCATGAACCGATTCGAGCGAAACACGAGTAGCCGTACTGCGTGTAAAAGGGCCATCAAGAAACGTCGATGCTTCTTCTGCGAAGCTCGAGTCAAGATTCCCTATCTGTTTGAGGAAGACCTTTTTTCCCTCCCTTGAGCTAATTCTTAGAAAGAAACTCAGGTTTCTCTTTTCCGCAAAGAATGTCACAATATTTAATATATATTTAATATAAATTGAAAATAGAGTAAAATATATTTTAAATATATATTAAGTGTTATTAATATATATTTGATCTTTTAAAATATCTATACTTTAGCGCTGTGTGTATGTGTACACATATATACACACGTGCATTTATGTAAGTGTGAATTAATGAAAAATGAAGCAATTGCAACGTTTTTGTTCAACGCAGCATAACGGAACACACCACATACACAAGTGCGTGCATAGCGCACGGAGTTTGCGAACAAAGTTCATTTCTCGTTTACGAACGCGTAACGAGAGACTTCGCGAAGTGAGATTTTTCTCGTTCGAGGTTCGTGAACACGAGGCTCACACAGCCTGTGGCTTGAATGACCGCTTCGGTGTTTCTAGCGTCGAGAGGAACGCCGGAGTCGGCTTTGCCAATTGAGGTCGATTAAGTACGGCTCCCAGAGAAGACACGCGCGTTTCTCTCTTCAAGCTCTTCAAATCACGAGAAAATAATATGTATCTTTCTTTTTTTTTCCGATGCTATTGTGCGAGTCAAAATGTAATATTTGACGAAAATAATGTAGACGCGTCGTCACACCAACGCTAAACTTTCGCGTGTAAATAAAAAAAAATCGTGCGATACGTCGCTAATTAATTTGTAACATTTGCCACAAATTTGTTTCATCTCGCATGATGTAAACATCGCGTTATAAATGTGAAGTTGTGAACGGGTGCAATTCAAAAATTATTAAAATTTTTTCTCTCAACTGCCTCGCGTTTCGAGAATTTTTATCAACTTCCATGACCATTGTACTATAAAAAAAAATCTAATTTATTGTCTAGTTTGTCTACGTTGCTGACTCATGTACTTGAATGTTCAACTTTTCTCTCTTCGTAGCAATCGTTTGTTGACAAGTGTTCTCGAAGAAAACTTGTTTTGAGAAATTGTTTTCGCGCATCTCTCTCTCTTTTCAATTTTCATCTTTTCGCCCGAGTCAGGGAACAAAACAAACTTCGAAACGACGCTATTCGCGAAGTCAACGATGTGTTTTTTATTTGTATGTCACATTGTTATTTTGCTAATCAAACCTCGATGTGTCCTATCGCGACGGAATCGATTGCACGAACGATACCAATTTCACACCGATTCGCGATTCGTCCGAAAGCGTTGGAGAGAATTTTAACCTCTTTGTGTGTGTGTGTACGTGCTCAGCTTCGATCGAATTTCCGATGACAAAAATCAATCGCCGTCGTTACGATTTTCTTTTTTTTCTATTATATACCTTCTGCTTCAGTCAAAAGTCCTGAACACGGATTTTTGCTGTCGGAAAATCGTTGTCCTCGTCCTCGTGTCGAAACTACAACTATTACCGCACTGTTCCTGAACTTGCCTGTTGCTGTTCGGGGCCCGAAATTGCGCGCGCAAGCGATGCGTCGGTTCAGTTAGAGATTGGTGATTGGCCGTCTCCCTCTTTTCTCTCTTAGCCGAAGAAAAGAAGGGTGAGAATCGTCGAAACGCGCGATCTGTTGCACCTCGCGATCGCGTCTTCCGTGTGACACGCTTCTTCGTCGGGGTAACGGAGACGCGCGACACTGCAAAGCACCACAAAGAGAAATTGACGGACGTAAAACAGAAGGAAAATACAAAAAAAAGAGAATGTGATCGCCCGATGGACGGCGTCCTTTTTCTTTTCTTCTCTCTACCTGGTCTTTCTAACAAGTTCGTGTGGCACGAACACAAGCCTCGACCGAACTCACTACCGCGCGACGCATCAACTGGGCCCGGCGTACGACTGACTCGCTGGCAAAGGGGGTTCTCGCTCGGGGCCCCACTACCGCGCCATCTTGTCTGTCCGCGGCTCGGATTGGTGATGTCACGCGGCGCGCGGCGGGATGAGAGAGGAAATCAGGTGCGTACGGCGTTGCTCTTCGCGAAATCCGTACGTGTCGCCGAATTTTTCAGAATTTCACGACGTCTCTCTTCCAGGAAATATATTTCGATCTCGTTGCGATCTTGCAAGATGTGAAGTTTATGTTGTAACAAATATACGATAATATATAAAAAATATAAAGTTTGTTATTTTATCGCATTGATGAGATATCTATGCGATTCGAAGTAATAAATTTTGCGAGAATTGCAGATGTAATTGGTGTAAACGTGTGTTTTAAATAATGCTGCGTTTTCCATACGAGTGAAATATTTCTGGGAGAGATTTTAATTTTTACGGACGCGGAAACGCGATGAACAGGAGGGTTACTGTTAAAATAAATTTGGAAGTGCATTTGTGTTTATCTTGCGCAAGAAAAGCTGCCGCGAATGATATACGTTTAACGTAAATCACGAAAATGCAAACTGCAACATATACACGGCAGTGCATTCGCATCGCGCCCGTCTTCCTCTGTCACTCTCTGCCGCTCCGAGACAATTCATCTTCCTGTTTTGTTCTCTTCCCGAGCTTGTGTATCGAAAAAACTCAGCGTGGCGCAAATTACCTCGTCATGCAAAAACGAGTCTCTCTTCGCGTCTTTTGCTTTCTCTCGTTTACAAAAAAGAAAAGTGTCATTTTACACATGTAAAACCCAAAAATCTGGAAAAAATATGAGTATACAAATTACATCAAATGTGTATTCTCAAAATTCTTTTCTTCGACGTTTCTTCGACATATCGTTTCTTCTTCGACGATCAATTTTCAATATTGCTCGGAAGGAATTGCGAATCGACGAGATTTACGCAAAATCTCGGAATAAGTGCAAACAAAAAAGTGCCGTTCACGCGCGACGAGAGTTCAAGGATCAAAAAGAGCCGCTGCTTCACTATAGGAGATCCGCGAGACTTCACGGACGCGATGTACGCATCCGTATGTGAACTCACCTTTGCTTTCTCGACCTGTATCGTGTGTTCGCTAGCGCGGCCGCAGCATCACGAATGGAGCGAAATGAACAAATACCTTGTTTCTCTTCCTCTTTTCTCCGTCTCTTTTTCTTTCTTTCTCACTTTCAGTGTTGTTCTCTCTCTCTCTCTCTCTCTCTCTCTCTCTCTCTCTCTCTCTCTCTCTCTCTCTTTCTCGATAAGAGCATATACGCACGGAAAAAATGGTTTTCAGCTCGGTGAATACGCGGGTAACCATGCCGGGAACCTGTTCCCCCCTCTTGCCAACTTGCTCTCTGGGAGGGTCGTTTCCAGGCTCTT